GACTAGAAAATCTTCTTCTGAGGTGTTTCAAGTTTTCTTCCAGGAATTTTCTTTGTGTTTCTTTCTGAAGACATTCTATGCAGAGACTGGTCAATTAGTTTTTTCTTTTCTTTTCAACATACTATTCTGCTCTTTGCCTTTTTACATAAAAATGCACATTATTTCATTCACTAGATAAAGAGCACTTCATTCTTATAACTGTATCTCTGTGTGTGTGTACCTGTATGTGTGTGTGTACGTGTATGTGTGTGTGTGTGTGTGTGGTCCTGGAGATTGAATTCCAGGGGTGCTCTATCACTAAGATACACCTCCAACCCTTTTTATTTTTATTTTGAGGCAGGATCTCACTAAGTTGCTGAGGCTGGCCTCGAACCTGTGATCTTTCTGCCTCAGACTTTGGAGGTCTGGGATTATAGGTGTGTGCCATCATACCCAGAATTACATTGAATATTTCAATTTATACAGTATCATAATTTATCAAACAGCCTTCTGTTGATAAGTACTTATTTCAATCTTTGCTATCCTAAATAGTACTTCAAAGAAATTCTTTCTATGACACACCAATTCTTTGGCAGTGATATTCTCAGAAACCCAAGAACTGTGTCAATGGCTATGCCCCCTACATGGGTTCCACCCTCTCACACTCTCCACTCCTATGTCTGGGAGGGCTTGTTTCCCTGAAGCCTCTGCAAACAGAGGGGTAGCCAAATGTCTTATCTTTGCCCATTGGTAGGTGAGATACAGTATCAGAGGGTGATTTTAATTTGTATTTCTTGTATTATGAGTGAGGCTGAGTATTTTTCCATATATTTATCAAGTACTTATAGGTCCTGCTCTGAGAACTCTCTGATTATACCCCTTGCCCATTTTTCTACAGATTTCTGGTCTTTTTTCTTATTGATTTATAGTGCTTGGAGATAATCCTCCATGGATCTATCATGTTCTTGCATGGTGAAGGCCTTATTTCAGGAAAAGGACATATTTTAATACAAATAGTCTTAGAAGTTGGAGATTTAGAGGTGTAACTTCTCAGAGGGATCTCAGGGTCATAAACCCAGAATCACCTTCCCTGTCTGCTCCAGAGATTAGTTTACAATCCAGGGTAATGAGTAATATCCCCATTCAGGGGAATAGCTATGCTAGCAGCTGTATAGAAGCTCAGGGTCTCCTAATTTGGGGCCATGTGCAGTGGCATCTGACCATCACATGACCCTTGGGGGATGGGGCATAGGAACCAATGCAAGATGTTGCTGTCTGCTATTTTAGCATGAGTAATAAACCGTCTATATCTTTGACCCAGATGTCTATGTCTTTGGTTGGAATATGTTGAAACCATGGTAAGCTCATTTGTTAGTTTGCAAATAGGGTCAAATCTCAGCTCCTTTATAGTTTCTAACAATGTGTAGAAACTCCTCTGTAATAAGGATTGCAAAGAATTTCACCTATATTTTTAAAAGTCATAGCAGATAGTTCTGAAGTAAGGCCAGGGATGAGACAAAGACGCTGCATCCTTCAAGATTCAGCCAAATGCCACATCTCCCACTAAGCAGTTGTGTGTTGGACCTAACTTTGGAATCTTGAGTAGGATTAAAAAAAATCTATTATGCAATAGAAAATGCAAAGAGCATTAAAATTAACCAGACACTGAAAGGAAAGCTAAACATTTACAAACATTAAATGCTTTGAAAAATAGTCATTTCACAATTAAGATAGCAGAGAAGCATTTCACATTATCCTGAGATGAAGTACCCTAACCTAAACTCCACTATGGCTAAAGGCTCATGAGGAAAGCCTTCAGAGAGACTAACAAATGAGCTTACCATGGTTTCAACCCTGTGGTTCCTCAGGTCAACACATCGTCTGATTATCCACTTTATCCATATTTAATGATTGCCCTTGAGAGATCTGGAGCAAGCCAGGTGCAGTAGTGCACATCTGCAGTCCCAGAGACTTGGGAGGCTGAGGCAGGAGGACCACTTGTTCAAGGCTAGCCTCAAAAACTTAGTGAGATATTGTCTCAAAATAGCCTAAAAAGACAGGAGCAATCTAGGGAGAAATACAGTCCAAAGCATGTTGGGGACCCATGAAGCTCATTATTTGCTCCCCAGTAAATCCTAGCTGAATGCTAGCTGTGCTCTACTGGTCAAGAAGGAAGACTAAGAAAACCCCATCCCTATTTTCAGGAGTAGTGAAAAAGAGAGGGAATTCAGTGATTTCCATTGAGGAGAGAAGGGCTCATATCACTTGTTTGTGAGTGTTAAGTAGGATAGTTAAAAGAACTTGGGGGTGTGGTGGTGCATGCATATAATCCCAGAGACTCAGGAGGTTGAGGCAGGAGGATTGTAGGTTCAAGACCAGCCTCAGTAACTTATCAAGACCCTAAGCAACTTAGTGAGACCCTATCTGTGGGAAGCAGTGACTTGGATCAGGATCTCTGACTGTCTCAAAGCAGAAGCCTGCACTTGTGCTGGGAACTTCTTGTGCAAAAGTTCAGGTCAAGTTCAGCCCAGTTGCTATGGTGATGCCCTGCTTAATGAGGTTCTGTGAAAGTCAGGAGACTGCCAGTCTTGACCCTGAGTTCAGACACCAGCTGCCAGGGGTAGAGAATTATGAGTGCAAAAAGATAATTATAATTGGCTATGATTCTTCAACCTTCAATCCTGCATGCTTTGAAGAAACTTCCTCCCAGAAAACCCTTTTGATGGTAAAACCTATGTATAAACATGCTGAGCTAGCTCTGGATCATTGTTGCTCCATCAGAGGACAGTGTCCCTCCTGGTCCTCTCTCTCTCTCTCTCTCTCTCTCTCTCTCTCTCTCTCTCTCTCTCTCTCTCTCTCTTTCTCTAATCTCCTATCACCTGCTGCCAGTTTCTAAACCAATGGTGATGCAGGTTGTGGCACCTGTATCAAAATTAAAAATTTTAACAAAATGGGCTGGGAACGTAGCTCTGTGGTAAAGCATCCCTGTGTTCAACCCCCAGTGCCAAAAAAAAAAAAAAATGTATAAACTCTTCCAAGTTGAAGTGGTACTAGGCATGGTAGGGAATGCCTGTAATCTCAGTGACTCAGGAGGCTGAGGCAAGAGGATCCTGAGTTCAAAACCAGCCTCAGCACTTTAGTGAGGACCTAAGTAACTTATCAAGACCCTTTCTCAAGATAAAAAATTAAAAGGAGTGGGGTTGTGGCTTAATGCTTAAGCACCCCTGAGTTCAATCCCTGGTACAAAATGAAACAAAACAAAATATAAAGTGACCCACCCTTGAAGGCTGGGTAGAAAAGAATAAGAATTTTTCAGGAGAGGGGAAAGTTCAAGGGGCAAATCAGGGTCAGAACATTTGTGTTTCACCTGGCAGCTGAGGATGAATGGGAGGGGAGCAGGTAAGGCTGAACAGGCAGCAAGTGGCCCAATTAGGAAGGACTTTGAACAGAATTTCATCATAGGTTTATATGGAAGGAAATAGTTTCTTAACAACTTCAAAAAAACTTTTCACTTATACCTTAACAAGTCCTATACCTAGTTACAAAGTAGACATTCAATGCTCAGTGCCCAGCTGGAAATTTAGGTACATCCTTTTGATAATAACCCCTGTCGACATGGTCATTCCATCAAATGGGTCATTTCTGCTCTGTGTGCTCAGGAATATTAGCCATGATTTTTTTTTTTTTTTTTAGACACAGGGGGTTGAACCCAATGGTGCTCTGCCATTGAGCTATACCCAGCCCTTTTTATCTTTTGAGACAGGGTCTCACAACATTGCTGAGGTTGGGCTTGAACCTGCTATCCTTCTGCCTGAACCTCCCAAGTAGTTGGGATTTAGGCCTGTACCATTGCTCTTGACTGGAATCTTAGCTATGATTTAGAAAAAGAAATATTTGTCTGGGATATCAGTCTCAACTATTCTCATATTTCTCTGTTGGAGAAGAGCCAAATGTATATATTCAAAGCTTTTATCTGCATTTTTAATTTATTAGATTAAATCACATTCATTGGTCAACGTCCTGTTATTCAAAGAACTTCACTGTCAACAAGTTATCTCTGCCTCTCCTCTTCCCTTGCTTCACCTGCCACTAATTACCAACCTTCAACAGAATATACACATACCTCTCTCATCTACCCAGGCACGCATCTGGGACTGGTTACACAATCTGTGGGGCCCAGTGCAAAATAAAAAATACAGCATCCTCTTATTAAGAATTGCAAAATGGCTGGGCACAGTGGCACATGCCTAAATTCCCAGTGGCTCAGGAGGCTGAGGCAGAAGGATCGCAAGTTCAAAGCCAGCCTCAGCAATTTACTGAGGCCCTAAGCAACTCAGGTGAGACCCTGTCTCAAATAAAATATAAAAAGGACTGAGGATGTGCCACAGTGGTCAAACGGCCTGGGTTCGATCCCCAGTATAAAAAAAAAAAGTTAACACAGGCAGGAGATTGACTGGAGGGTAATAAAAAGTGGCTTGAGATAAAAGCAGATTGAGGGATTAGAAGAGAAGAATTATCCAGCAAAATTTTCATAGGATCTTTGATAGTGAAAGCTAATCAGTAGTTGAACGATTTGCACAACTCACACACCCAATTTATATAGGGTTTAGTGAATGCCTAGAAAAATGAGCCTCCATGTTGCTCTTGGGATGCTAATGGGGGATTTCAGGACATGTTACCCCCAAATATGTCATCTTGGCGTTTGAAAAACACAGAAGCAGCAGGAAGACACCCCTCCTTTCCCTTTCGTCCTTCTTCCTTAAAACAGATCATAATACTCTCATTTGAGAGGTGCCCTTCATATTCCCAGAGCAAAGGAACATCAGTATCTCTGAAGACACAGGGACACTGAGGGAATCTGAACAAACAGGCCTTGCTAAGTTCCCCCCCATCTGTTTCCATTAGTTCACACCCCTGCGTCCACTCTTCACCAACCCTAAGCATAAAAAAATTAAATTATATTCTTAAAAAAAAAAAAAAACCAACCCCCAAAACCCAAGCATAAACATAGGCAAGTTTACCTGTTTCTTTGGGTCTTCATTTCTTCATGGAAGCTCCTGTGTCATGTAAAACTTACATTAAAAAAAAATAGTACATGCTTTTCTCTGGTTAATGTGTCCTCAGCCTTGAGCCTAGTGATGATGGTAAGGAAAGAGCTTTCCTCCACCAGAGGAAGTCTGTGCAGCTCTCACACCCCCAGTCCCCCCCTCCTTGTCTATTGAGCCGAGTGGAACAGGTTGCACGTTACTTAACCACATTTCAGAGGCTTAGTCACTTTCACTTTTAATAGATGCTAGCAGTTGGTGTTACCGTTCTACCGATCCCATGGCAGTCACCCAGCCCATGTTCCACCTGACAAAATTCACTGCTGTGAATTCCCCTCGAGTTTATACACCAGGGGAGGCTTCGGAAGAAAGGCGTGCTAGGATCGCGATGGAGAAAGGTTATAATGCATCACACCAGCCTCTGAGTTGACTTAGCTTCCTATTTTATACTCACCATCTGTTGACACATTGTTCCACCTCAGTGAGGTAGTCAAAAAAGGTATCTGTGAAACAGGAGGATTGCAAGTTCAAAGCCGGCCTCAGCAACTTAGCAAGGTCCTAAGCAATTCAGTGAGACCCTGTCTCAAAATATAATACAAAAAAGGGCTGGGGCGTGGTGCAGTGGAGCACGCCTATAATCCCAACTGCTCAAAAGGCTGAGGCAGGAAGATTGCAAGTTCAAAGCCAGCCTCAGCAATGGTGAGACATTAAGCAACTCAGTGAGACCCTATCTCTAAACAAAATACAGAACAGGGCTGGGGATGTGGCTCACTGGTCAAGTGCCCCTGAGTTAATTTCCAGTAACCACCCCTGCCCCCCAAAAAGGGGGGCTGGGATGTGGCTCAGTGATTAAGCACCCCTGGATTCAATCCCTGGTACAAAAAAAAAAAGGTGTCTCTTTTCTTTCTAATTTCATGCACAGTACTTTTTCTTTTTAACCAGCCATCTTTTTCCCCAGGTTGAATATTAATTCAAGTATTTGCTTACACGATAAAGGAAAACCCCCAAATCAATGTATTCAAGGAAAGGGACATTACAAGTATTGCTCTGTTTTGAGTTGTGGTCCAGAAAATACCATCTTTCTCTGCAAATTTCCAAATCTCTTCCAGCTAGAGAATGGCAGACTATGCACTGGATAGAATAATTTCATAACCCTATGCTCTCAATGAGGCCATGTGCAAATTGCATTTGATAATAAACTATGATTTATCTGTCACCTTTACACATGAGGACAATCACCACATACATAACTAGATTTCTAGTATCCAAATGAATGTCAGAACCAAAGGCTGTCTAGTAGCGCTACAGGACTATTTTCTAAAATACTTTACTAAGGTACTGGGTTGTAGCTCAGTGGTAAGAGTGTATGCTTAGCATGTGAGAAGCCCTGGGCTCCCCACAGCCCCAGCAAAAAAACAAACACAGAAACTAGAAAAATTGTACTTTAAAGGTTGAATATGAACTGTCTCTGTATGTTTTCTCCCAGTCAGGGGACTCCTCCAGTGAGTTACCCAATGTCTTAATTTTCATTTTGTCTGTAACTTGTTATTTGCACAAGAAAAAACATTGCACATTGTTTTCTATCTGTGCTCTCTGCTTGACCTCTAAGCTCATAAAAGAGCAGAATGAAGACTTCAACGGACACCGAGTGTATCACAGGAGGAAGAAAGGCAGTAATTGAGGGAAACATTGACAAGTTACTTTGGAAAGAATTTTCCTCTAGGCTCCAATTTAATATTTTTCTCATTGAACTGTATCACCCCTGTTATTGCCATCTATCCTAGCTGGTGACCTATGCTGTGTTCACAAATCTGACTGTTCCAATAACTTAAGAAATGGCAAAGAAAGCACGTAAACACACAGAAGTACCTTTTCAAAATCCAGGATTGCTCTCCGACCTTAGGGGTCCTTGGAAAGAGAGAGCTACTGGAATTCTTTATTTCTTATATAGGGGACACACACACGGGGAAGTTCCATGGAACATTCTATCCCAAAAAGGGCAAAGGGGTAGGATTACAAAGGAACAGGTGGGTGTAACTCAATCCCACAGGGTGATGCCTACTCTTGGAGCCACGCCTCATTATCCAAGTGGAGGTAAAGCCCAAGTTATTGCAGGGCACAATAATTGTTCTGTATCTCTTGCTCAGGACTTAAGGGTGTGTATTTCCAGAGTGACTCCCGATACCCTGCCAGAACCACATCCACACCAGAGCTTCTCATGGCCCAGCATATAGAATTGCAAGTGGCAACCTCCAGGCACAATGATATGAAATCATGTATAACAGGAGGAATTCATGACCTACAGTCTCTCAAAAACAAACAAAACCAACCAACCCAAAACCCTGAATATCCTCTTAGTTAAAAACATGCACCTGCAGTACTCCAAGATCTATTTTGGACATCTGACTTACATATGGTTGGTTGTATATCATTGCCGCCATGGCCAAGAAATGGACTTGGAGGAATTCCGTGGATAAATATAAACTGTCAACATGATTTTTAACTTATCTGCACAGTCCAATAATCTAGCTTATTGAGGTGGCTCTCACAGCAGTTAAGCTTTATTCAGTAGAAGGTATACAGGACTTCTACTTCTTTATGTTGAACAATTCAAGAACTTCTTGAAATAATGATTATTAAATGTTTCCAAAAATATCAAGTTACACCCTCAGTTCTTATGGGCAAAGTCTCCAGAAATACATGCTAATTGCCACAAAGCTGGAGCTCTTTGGGGGTGGGGGGTAGATTTGTGCCCATTAGCAGGCTGTTAACTGTATACTTCTACCATAGGATCGAGGATCATGTAGTAGTGACCTACTGTTGTAAATCACCAATCACTATGACACCAATGAATTCAAATCCACCTGAGTTTAGTTCTATTTTACTCAGAGTATAGACTACCAGACAAGGTAACTCCACTTTACATGTGAGCACAGGTGTATACACTCAAAGGATATACATGTATATCCATGTATTCATTTTTTCAAGTTAATTGAGGTTCATTGCTGTTCTTCTTGCAATCTTGTGTCATCATTACTGTTCACGTTGTAGCGAATTATTGAATACACTGTAGTTCAGAATGGTAACACAATACGAATCTAGCAATTCAACTAAATTTTGAGAAAAATTTCTAATGATTCAAATGAGTCATTCACATATCTTTTGCTTAAAGCAGATGTAATAACAAGCACACAATTGTATTATGACATTTCATGAGCCATGTGCTGCCTGTGAATGTGTTTTTGGAGCCCATGTTAACGAGGCTTTCTTCCCCACTACTGAAATCCAACAGTTGTCACTCATTTTGCTCAATCCATTCATTAAGTTCATTCTCACCTCTCACCTCACACATCAGCACAGCTTACTGCCTCTACCTTCATTTCCAACCATCTCTACTACTACTGCTGTCATCTCTTGCCTAGAAATATTGCATTAAATGCATAATTGCTCTATACTTTTTACCCTGGTCCCCAGGAACCAAAGTGATCTTTGAAAATTTAAGTCTTATAACTCTTCTGTTCAAAGCAGCACTGTGGTTTTCCTGCACGCCTTGGTCTTTCCCCATATGCAATCATACTTCTTTACTTCAACTCTTTCCTTTCACCTTCTTGGGTCAGCACAGTGGCCATTTTGTTCCCAGAACACATTAAGCACATTTCAGACTGTGAATGTGTTCTTTTGCCTGGATGGTCTGCTCACCTCTCCCCACATACGAATGTGACCTTCTTTCCACATTATAAAGTCCTTCTCTAGACACTATAAAAATCCTTCTCTATTCATTTATTTTCCATACACACAACGAAACCCTTGGCCATGGGCCAATAAAAACCTGCCTGTACCAAACTTCGTGTCAAACAAAATGACATGTACTTCTGATGCGTTCAGGAAGCAATATATCACTTATTCATCTCAAAATGTCTTAACCTGACTCTAGAATAACCAAAGACCCCCCACCCCCCAAAAAGGGATAGTATTTAAACAACTACCTGGACTCTTCACGTGGATGGGGGGGTATACCTATAAAGATTAACAAGGGACAACTAAGGAATTTTTGAGATGTTGGGGCAGGAAAACCTGTTCACCTCCCCAACAAAGCCTTTACTATTTCACTTTCCCAGCTCACCTATCAGACTTCACTTTAGATGTTCCCTTAAAGCCCTTACCCCTCTGCCAGATTGTCCTGGTTTTAACAGAATTGATCACTGCCTAAATACTTTTTAACTACAATGTTTCAGACAGTAATGGCCTAAATAGGGCTGGTACTTTTTCCCTTTGATTTCATGTCAGAGCCAGAATGCTTAAATTAACTGGAGACTCCAGTGTTTGGGTCTGCTTTCCATCACCAGGGGGCACTATTAACCTATTAGCCTTAAGCTCAGGATCACATTCTTTGAAGTTATATGGTAAATTCCATAGTCTGATCTTTGGACTCACATGTCCAAATGGAGTCAATGAAATCACTGGTCTTTTTTATGTTTAACCTTTTAAAGGTATAATAAACCAAGCAAAATATTCCATTTGTTATAAGAATTTTCCCTCTCAATCTTGGTTGCCAAAGTGCAGTCATTTTTTCCTTCTCACCTAATAGAGAAAACCTTAGCAGCAGACCTTAATTGCTCCAGGTCTGTCAGATGCCTATTCATATCCATTTCTCCTCTGGCCACCAGCTATTCCTTTCTTTCAAAGGAGGGACTGGTGTACTTCATAAAGGGACCTGGGTTTTAAGGACTTGAAAGGTCCAACCATCACATTCAACTGCTTTTTCCATTTTACAAACTACAGTCAAACATACATTACTAGTGTCCCAAAAAACTGGACACAAAATTCAATTTCATATCCCATAAGGTATTCTTTTGACACCCCCCCCCACCCGCAACATTTAAAGATATAACCACCACAGGCAGAAGAATGAGCCCCCTTTGCCAACCCCTGTTCTAGCAACCAGGGAATTGGCAATTCATTCCAGGTAACTTGATTCTACTGATGTTAAAATAAGCTCAGACAATACATTGCTTCCAACTGAGTTAGTGTCTCTTTATTCTTTTGGTAACCTCTTCCAGGGTTAACTACTTCCGTTGTAGGTGATGCAATGTGTAAGTTCCACACTTCAAATGTTGGCACTGTTATGAGCATGGTCTTTCCCTTTATTACAAGTCAGAATTAAAACCTTGATTCTTGTTTTTTAGATTCCAGTTGCAGAAGTAGTTTTCACTGCAGGAGTTATCTGAAGACAGTCAGCTTTCTAATGGTGGCCTACAATCAGGCTCTAGCTTCTCCAGCAACACTACAGGTTGGATTTAGTTTAAACATGTATTAAACTAAGAGAACTTCTCTCAAGTGAGTTTAAATGCACTTTATTTTTAGACAACCTACATGACATGTTTTCTTAAAAAACAATGCCTCCACTCCAAATAAATCACGGTCAAAATAAATGTGCTCAAGATGACATCAGTTCCATTTGTCTTAAGTCCTGGTGTTGTGTGGATGACAAGCAGCAGCCAGTTATGATGACAGATGATAGGTCCAAAGTAACTGCCAAATTTGTTACTGTAAAAATAAAGTAAGATCACATTAACACCTTTTCCAATAAAGAGTACCAACTTTTCTAAACTACAGCTGTATTCCCCAATTCAATCTGGACTGCCACACAGACAGACAGAAAGCGCAGGGATTATTTTCTTTTGCATCCTAGTGCAAACCAAAAGAACAACAGCAAATTGTTCAAGGTCTATCAGTGGATGCAGAACATCCTTACCCAATTGGAGGTAGCACATTTTCCAGAAAAATCTTATTATGCATCAAGTCCAATTTGCAGTATTATACCACCAAAAAGCTCAAATGGAGTATGAATGGTCAACCATCTTGTACGGTCCCTAATTTTAGGCCACTGGTGCCATTTATTTCGCTCATATCCTCTACTTAATTTATAGGAAGCCCTGAAGCTAGGACAATGTCTGTTTCCATACAGCCTCTTTGCAGGAAGTTCCTTGCACAGCAAACATACACTTATTTTTACTAAATGATCTTCTTAGCAGTCAGTTCTAGCTACTTACTAGAATATAATGTCTTAGACTTTCAACGATCAATTGCTAATTATCAGTAAACCAGAGTGCCACTCATGCATGTGTGACAATAGAAGAAATGGAAGTCATATCTAATGGGGAAGGTCAACATAGTGTTGTCTCTGAATCATCTACACTGTTTTCTGTAGATAACCAAGATTCTACGCCTTTATACCACAAGAATCTATTACATGTGAAATACAATCCTCTCTAGCTCCCCAAAGAAAAACAAACTAAATCCCATGTTTTAAAAGTACTGTTGTAGAATCCATTCTGTCAAGAAACACTTAAGAATCATACCTAAAATCTCTATTTTCACAAATTACTGATTTCAAACCACTTTCTCATACTTACACATTTCTCCATTTCTAAACCATCCTTAAAGAAAATCATATATGGGGTCACACCATCCTCACGGTAGTCCAGGAGAGCGACCATGCCATCTGGATTCATGTTTTCACCAATAAAGAACTTGGGAAACAAATACCCAGAATTAGACCACCATATATGAATGTATCATATCAAAGCAAACCTATTACACCACACACACACAAAAAAAAAAATCAAGCAATTCCAGCAAGTAAAAGCTCTGATGCCTAAAAGCAGTGCTCATTATTCACAAACATCAGTTCACTTGATTAAAGCACTAATAAATAAAAATAGTGCAGACCAATCCTGGAACACTTTAGGCTTTCTAGGAACTTTTACTTTATCAAGCCCACATGAAATTCCAACTAACCTGCATGCCTCAGTAGTCAGGCTGACAATGATTTAAAGTATATCAAATGGAATTACAAGTTAGTTAAAAAATTTTAAAGCCAGTTTGTGATGTGTGTTGTTTTAAAATTACATCTTAGAGGTCAAGGGAAGTCACTGAAGTTTTCCAATAACAGGTCCAACAAGCTCAGATGCATCCAAAAGCCAGTGTCATAGACACTGGAATTTGAGTCTATGTATCAATGTATTTAAATAATTCAAACAACAATTATTATAGGAAGATTAAAAACTTACCTTCTGTTTTTGCAGCTAAACAGTACACCCATTTGATTCAAATAATGAAAGTATTTACCTGGTAATTTTTAAAATTAGCAAGGATGTGCTTGATTTGTTCTGCAGCCCCTGTCATAAAAGGTTTTACTCTCTCTGGTCTCTGTTCTTCAAGTTTGCCTTTGATTCTACAACAGTATCATTAAATGATTGTTAAAATATAAAAAATTTTTAAAGTAACAAGTACAAGCAACAAAGAATTCTGCAACACTAGGCCTAGCTTTCAATAAGCAAAATAATAGCACAATTAAGATATTACTACTTTACAGAAGGAATCTTTCAAGAAATGTCATGCTCGCAGTAGTTTACAGAAAGCAACCACCCTTGTCAGTGAGCTTTTCAACAAAGTATCAGGCCTTTCATAAGAACTTAAAATAAGCGATCCCAGACTTTGGCTGGGTGTTAAGATCACTTACGATTTCATGTAATCTTTGATGTACTTCTTGTATGCTTCTTTTGTGAAGCTGGTTTCCTGCAAGTGATGGTTCATGACAATATCAACACCAGTGATTACTGTGCTTTCGGTACCTTCGCCCTCGGGTCCTTCAGCGGAGGCATTTCCACCAATGAGCGAGTCATCAATGTTACCCTCGGTCCTACTGACCATCTGCATTAGAATAAGTAGCTTAGTTACAAAAATGGGGGAAAAAAATTCCAAAATAACTCCTGTGCCAGCAGTTTATGCTTTCTCAAATACTCTTAATTTTTGTTGGAAACCACAAAAGCACCATTTTTTGGGGGGAAGAAATGTCGGTTTCTCAAAACTGTTTAACAGAAACTAATTGCCTGTTTACCAGAAACAAAATGGGTTCACTATAAGCATGTGGAACGCGTTTCCAGTTGGGGGCTCCTGGGTTGCCACTGGTTAGGTGATGATAGGGCAAATGTTTAAGAGTCTGGGGCTCCTAAATCAGAGACAACATGTCCCGGAAGGCCCGGAAGGAGGATGGGCGCCGAGGCGGCGGACCTATTTCCAGGCTCAGCTCCGCCTCCACTTTTCTAGAAAAACCCGAGCCCGGAAAGAGCCGACTCCTCCGCCAGGAGGGGGCGGAGAGGATTGCACAACCTCGGGCGGGGGAGTCGCGGAAACCCGAGCCCGCCCGCCAGGCTCTGCCTCCCCCGCGCGGCCGGCCGGCGGACCGACTCACCTTGCCCTCCACCTCCAGGCAGAGCCCGTCCGCGATCTCCCGGATCTTGTAAATGTCGGAGAACATCTCATCATCTGTTCGGGGACAGGGAATCACTCATCACGGTGCGCCGGCACCGAGGCCTGGAGCCGGCTCCGCCATTTCCCGCGCCGGGCAGGCGCACGCGGCCCCCTGCCCCGCCCCAGCGCTCGAGACCCGGGCGCTTCCCCGGCACCGATCCCTCCTCGCCCCCGGAAAGGTAGCCGGCGTCCCTGGACCCAGGACGGCGGCGGTGTCCGCCTTCTCCGCTCCCACCCGCACCCCAGTTCCTCCTGGGCCAGTAAGGGTAGTGCAGTCAGGACTCACGGCTGATGAGGTCCCGGTAGATAATCATGATGGCGACTGGAGGGAGACGGCGGCAGCGCTAGCTTAGCAGGAGCCCGGAGCTCGGAGCGAGCGCGGTGCAGCCGGAGCGGCGCTCGGGGGGAGGGGGGAGCGGGCGGAAAAGGCCGACTCAGCCGCTCCCCAACCTCATATAGAGGGCACGTCCCTCTACGTCATCGCCCCCTGCGCCTCCGGAAGCGCCGCAAGCGGTGACGTGGCACGCAGAGCCGCGCGGGGGTGGGGCTACGGCGCGGTCCCAAGAGGGAAGGCGAGCATCCGGGAACTTGTCGCGGAGACATAATATCGCGTTGGGCTGTGTGCGTGAGGTGGGGCGGGAGGAGCGCGCGGGGGAGGGGAGTTGGAAGGGCTCCAGGGCGCTCCCGGGCCGGGGTGGGGCACAGCTGGGGAGGCGGGGCGTGGTGGCCCTACCCCGCGGGGCAGCCCCTGGAGGTGCTGAGCCTGGGTGGGGCCTAGATGACGTCTCAGGCTTCCGCCCCACGCCTAGCGCTGCTCACTCTGGCACCTTCCCTTCTCTGCTCCCCCCTCCCTGGGAGCAAAAATGTCAGCTGATGTAGGGGGATTTCTGGTGCGGAGGGCTAGGACCTTGAATCTCGGCGGAGCTGTCTACGAGGTGGAGGGCGGGGCGCGCGGCCTGTCTGGCTTTTCAGATCTCCGAGAGCCTCAGAGAAGTTTTCAGCGGCTTTCCAGCTGGACTTATCCACGTTTTTGTGGGGGCAGAGCTGAGTCTGGTGGTGGGACCCGGACAGGCCGTCCACCTCAGCCCCCGGGGGAATTGAGGCGGCCGCGGGGCCTGGGGCTGAGGGACCTGGTGAGGAAGGAAGGTGTCATAGGCGTTTACACGGATTTTTTTCTCTCTTTCATTTGGCCCCAGATTTGAAAATTTTTCATCTATCTGTGGCGGACAGCTAAAGACATCTTTTCTGTCTTGCACCTGGGCTTGAAGACCTGGGCTTGAATTATGTGCTTTTGTTTGAGAAAAAGGGATATATTGTCACATTTAAGATGAAGTGTAAATTTTATATCCGGTGCCACAGAGTTACCAAACAAAAATAAGGAATTTCCCACTTGCCCACGTGTTACTTGAAGGACTTTAGACCCAGTTACTAAGTACAAAAATAACAACAATACAAACCCAAAACACACCTTTTTAGGTATGGTCTTTGTATATACCTGGATGAAACTTGAGGGCTTATTCCATTACCCCTCTATTTTTGTGCTCTACCGTATTCCTGGCACTGGAATTTCCACAGAAATGGAATGATTGCGACTGTGAACAGATTAGATCCAGATTGTAGAAATTCTCATTCTGGTGAGTCAAAGAAGCAGGCAATTATTATACATTAATAATATAATATAATAATGTAATATTATACATTAATAATTTTTCATAAACGCAGACATTCATCAGAATAAGAGAGCAAGCCTGTAAAAGAACAGGACATAGGACAGTATTGGGATGATGAAATCAAAGTGGCAGTCATCTAAGAAATGGGATCCTCACCCAGTATGGAGGCACATGTCTGTAATCCCAGCAGCTGGGGAGGCTAAGGGAGGAAGATCTTAGCAATTTAGCGACTTAGCAACTTTATGAGACCCTGTCTTAAAATAGAAAAAGAACTGGGATAAAGCACCTCTGAGATCAACACCCCCAATACCCTCCCCAATAAGATTATTCCAGGATTTTATTAGCTTTAACATTCACATTATTTAAAACATTCCCATTCACTTATACAGAGCCCTTAAACATTACTTTTTCCAGCTCTTTATCCAAATAAAAACATTTTTTTTTTCAAGATACATAAAAACAGTGAAAAAGTGTTGAAGAGACCAAGGCACCCTAAATTGAAATCTTGACTTTACTAGTTCTGTGACCTTGGGAAAGTCAGCTTCCCTTGAGTCCTAGTATAAAAGGGAGTTTTAAAAATTTGAGAAAATGAGAAAATGCCTAGTATCCTCAACAGGTGAGCAATAAATGTTGCTAGAAGTTCAACGCATAATTCTTCCCAAAATTTAACGCTTTTCAGAAATGTCCTGAAACTATTCCATTAATTCTATGGTGTTTGAAAACATTTTGGGGACTTTGTTAATACATGTTATACTAAAGATGATCTATTTCATCCCAGTACTAATAATGGATTGCTGATCCCCTTGTTGATTGCAGATAGCTGATCAACTTGTAGCCTTATGATTTTCTATTTCAGGTTCATATTTGATAGTTCACAGCAATTTTGTGATTACACATTCTTAAAAAAAAAAGATCTCAGGAATCTGATTTGAGTTTTAGTATATTTTATACATATCATTCTGCAGTTTAGAAAATCTGTACTGTAGTTGAAAATGCCTATTTAGAACACCAGGAATACAACTGGTTGGGCTAAAATTAAGTACTAATTGTAAGTCACTGACAAAATGGCAAACATTAGGCCTTTATCTAAATTGAATATCTTTCATTTTCATATCATTAAAAATTGTTTTTTGACAACATTATTCCTTAACAATGATTTAAGCAGTGACTTCTAACAAAATCTATATCTGTCCTAAATTTTACAACTGATAATAACTTGGCATTTCTTGCATTTAAGGAGATTTTAAAGAGAATGTCTTCTGGCTTCTTCACACAAAGTCCTCATATGAGAAAATTACCCTAGAAGGACTCCTCATTTTATCCAGGATTGACTACAACGGTTTAAATACATAAGTGTTTATTTTCATGTAGAATAAATTCAAAAGTATAGTATCTCCATGGGCATCAGGAACCCAGACTTTTCCCTTCTTTTCCACTGTCCATATGGTATGTGTCAGATGCTGGAATTCCAGCCATCAAATTGTTCTTGCAGGCAGCCACAAGAGAGGAAGGACATAAGAGGTTTGTTCAAGTTGTGTGTCCCTTTTGAAGAGCTCTTCTAGGGGTCCCACTGAGAGCAATTTCATGGAGGCATGCAGTTGCAAGGAAGGCAAAAATTGTAGTCTTCTAACTCATTATCACTGGCTCATGGCTATACTAAGGAAAATCAGGATTTTTACATAAAGGAAGAACATGGGCAGCTGATAGTTCCTGCTGTGACCATAGTGCAAAGAGGTCTGGTTCTGATTCTCAGCTCATTTTTAAACTCCTAAGTGATTGATTTGTAAACCAGAATGCCACTAATTTATAATGAGAAATTTGTAGCTGTAGTAAGAAAGTAAGTTATCCAAAATGTGGTTCAATTAATATGGAATTAGGCAGAGGAGTTCAGGATGCAATATATAATTGTTTGCTTTTTTTTTTAGTTCTTGCTAAAGCTTCACTTATTTATCTATCTATTTATTTATTTATATGCAGTGCTGAGAATCAAATCTAGTACCTCACACTTGCTAGGCAAGTCGGCCACTGAGCCACAACCCCAGCCCTGCAATATATAATTGTGACAGAGGTGATTAGGAATGAACCAGCCAAACTGTTCTATTCCTAAGATGCAGTCTGAACCTTCTCATTCTGAGAGTGTGAATAAATTCTTACTGTTCTCTCTCTCTCTCTCTCTCTCTCTCTCTCTTTTAGGCTTTATGTCAACAAGTCATTACTTTAGTCAAGTTATAAGGTAGTTTTCTTCCTAGAAATGTTCTATATCTGTTCCAACCTAGCCACTAACCCCATGTGGCTATTGGGCACTTGAACCCTGGTTAATCTGACTATGGAAATGAATGTTTATTTTTGCTTAATTTTAATTAATTTAAATTTAGATACTCTTGTCTAATAGCTGTATTGGACAGCACAGCTATACTGTAAAATCTATGAAATCAGGGATTTTGTTCTGTTAACTACTTATAACTGAGTCAGGGTCTGACTCAAAAAATGTTTTCTAATAAGTGAAGTTTTCTTCATCTCTCTTAATTAGATTGAATCTAATTCCTTCTTTCCTTCTTAATTAATTGGATTTAGCTTATATCTAAAACCTAATCAGCGTGTTTTAAATTGAAGGTTGAGAAAACAATTTAGTGAGTAGCGAACAGCTTTAATGAAAAAAGAAATAGAATAGTGAGCATAGCTCTCTGAATCTCTTTTGGTTCTGAGAGTTGCCTCATTCATGAATCATTCTTTGCTAAAATTAACTGTTAAATTTAAAAAAAGAGAGAAATAGAAAAGAAAGTGAATCACATGAAAAGGTGAATCACAGTAAAGGTGAGTATTATGTCATTAAACTTTTGTTTAAATTTATGTATGTATGTACTAAATCCCAAATATATTTCTTCTTGTGAATCTAGGTCAGAAATTTTGACTTAGTCAGATTCTCTCTTTGAATATATTGTTTGGCGGCATTAACTATTCTGTTTCAGCAGATGATTTAAAAAATGCCCCAGGATTTAGTAAATACTATTTTTTATTCTCTAGCCCAGTTGGACAAGGTTCACATTTTTGCCTATGTTAAAACATCATATGGTCTTGTTTTTATCTTGATACATTGTGGTCATAGAGTGGCCTTTGAGACTGATTTTTCTGGGAGATTGGTTATATTCAACAGAGGGGCACCAAGGTCTATGAGTGCCAGAACAACGTCTACTGCATTGAGACGTCACTGAGAATCTACGATTCCTTTCTTATAAGCAAAAAACACCAAGTATCATAATGAATATAATTTTCTTAGTGTCTTTGATGAATGTAAAATGGTCATTAGACTCTAAGATGCTCTTAAATTTGAATATTTCTTTTAACTTTGAAAAATATGAACTTTTCCTGGTTATACAGATAATAATACATATTTTAGAATGTATTTAAACTACAGAAAAACCACAGATAATTACTGTTAACATTTTAGTATTCTGTCTTAATATGTTTATAGGGCATCACATGGATGGTAAAGCAATTTCTCCATCAGA